AGCGGCTCAAAGAAACTCTGGGCTTGGGGGTTTCAAATGTGGATTCTGCTCGAGTCCCCTCGCTTGCCGGTCGGGTGGCGGTGGGGCCCTGGCACAGCTCTCCGTGGGGACATCACGCCGAACGGCTCTATGACGTCTCCCCTCCTGCCTCACCGCTATTGCCCAGACGGTGACACATTGGTCCTGTCTGGCCAGGGTCGAAGCCCATGCATCTGTAGGTGGCCTAAAAACAAACAAGAGGAGAGAGACAGTTCCACGGTGTCCAGAAATAGCGTGAGAGGTGGGCGGGTGATGTTTCCATTGCCTTTTGGACTCACAAGTTAGCTTGGGTTCCACCCACATGACCTCTTTAGTGGTGGGTGAGACGGTTGCAATATGTTTTTTTCTTTTTATTTATTGATTTTGGGGAGAGAGAGAGAAGCATCGATTTGTTGCTCCGTGTATTTATGCAACGTTGGTTGATTCTTGCATGTGCCCTGACCGGGGCATCCGACCCACAACCTCCCGACCTCGGTGTGTGCGGACGACTCTCCAACCAACCGCGGGCAAGGCTGTGATATATATATATATATATATATATATATTTTTTTTTTTTCTTAAGTACGTTCTTATTGATTTTTAGAGAGAGTAGAAGGAAGAGGGAGAGAGATAGAAACATCAATGAGAAAGAAACATCGCGTAGCAGCTGCGTCCTGCACGCCCCCTGCCAGGAACGGAGCCCACACCCCAGGCATGTGCCCTGACCCGGAACTGAACCTCGATTGCCTGGATCATAGGTTGATGCTCAACAGCTGAGCCGCACCAGCCCGGCTGTTACTCGTTTCCTGACGAGGCCTCAGGCTGCTGCAGGCCAGGTGTGGGCCCTGGAGCCAGGACGGCCCTGCCGCCCGGAGCACGGTCCCACTTCGCCTGAGGCCACCTGCAGACTCTGGAGGTGCCGCCTCACCCCTGAGCTCACTTATAACCTTTCATTTTCTTGCAAACTGTGGGTCTTGGCCGTTCCTAAAATGTCCTCTCGATCTCTTACTTTGGCCAGGTTGTTCACTTTTAGCGAGTTTCACCTTCTGAAAACACTCATTTTGTGGGTCTACCTGCAACTGAACCTGAGAATCCAGACGATTCCGACCTACGAGACCGTGCTGACGTTTTTTAGCAGGTAATTTAACTTGTGCTGATTGATGACGTACACACACGGGGGTTTTTTGCTCATAATATCGGGGGAAGCATCCGTGATATCATCTTTCATAGCGTCATTCTGAGTGCGTAGAACGCAGCTCTCTCTAGGGGGCCTGAGATCATGGGGCCCCTTGGGCCCCCTGGATTCCTTGAGAAAGTGAATGACCCATAGGTGTTGGAACATTGAGATAACCTTGTGCTTCCGAGAACTTGTTCTGGGCCCCGTAAAAGACGCGATGCACAAGGTACTCCTTCTGTTCGGGAGAATTCATACTACGCTGACCCAAAACGTCCCACTCACAGCGAGCCCACACCGGGCCGAGCCATTCCCGTCGGCATTTCACTAAGCAGCATATAAAATTCAGAACGTTCTGGACAAGTGAAAAAGCGTTTGAATGTTCAAGGTTTTCATAGACTTAATCAGTTTCTTACACTCTCTAAATGTATCCGTTCTACTCTCTAAATGTATCCGTTCTACTCTCTAAATGTATCTGTTCTACGGGTTGTATGTCTCAGCATTTAAGCGAAAAGTAACAGTTACAGCATCATACTGAGCTCGGCTGGACTGTGCTGCTAAGTGCAGTGATCCTGATGAACATCCCTCTGTAACCTCATTTAATCGGCGCGATGCTCGGGGCCGGTCTTACTAGTCCCGTTCTCCACCACTCCCTGCCCCGTAGGCTCCCCCGCCCGGGGGAGCAGGGCACCGTCCACCCCCGGCTGGTGAAGCCACTGGTCCCTTTGATGTGGCTTTCGCTCGCCCGAGCGAGAGGAGTTTTCTGAAGGCCTTTTGTTCCTCTCTGTGCCTCTGCCAAGCTTCTCCAAGAAGTGTTGCTTCCTGGACCAAGATGCAGAGCAGAGCTTGATGCCTCTGTTCCTCGGCCTGCGTCTGCACGGCATCACCAAAGGTAAGCCCGGCCCGGCCCGGCCCGGCCCGGCCCGGCCCACGTGAGCGTGTCCGTGGACGGCTGCTAGGAACCTGCCCCACCAGGTGTTTCCTAAGGTGACGGCTGAGATCTGCCACTGCCACCTCCGAGTTGTGCGAGACTTTGGGAAAGTCACTGCCTGGGCTCAGTTTATTTGTCTGTGAAATGGTTGTAAGCAGAGTTTCCAAGAAATCTGACGATGGGTAGAAGGGGCTGATCCACGGTGAAGGCACCCAGCTGCCAAAGGCCACGTGGCTGCCATCTCCCCTGGGCCCCGCCTCCTGGAGCAGCAGCCCCTTTAGGTGCCCGATTCAGGGTTTGGGAGAAAACTCTGGGCCTGTGCTCCAGACTTGAGCTCCCCCAACCTCAGGCTCCAGGCCCAGGGGAAGGCAGCTGGGACTTGGACCCAGGAGGGAAATACTGGGGAGTGTGTTTGAGGCAGCCCAGCAGGCCACCCAGTGAGATCTTTGTGTCTGAAAGGACGTTTGAGAACTTTTCAAAGCCATTTCCAGTTATCTGGATAAAATGCGCAGCTCTAAACCCAGGGCCAGGTGATGGAGCCCAGGCAGTTTAGTCCATGTTGCTCCTGGACACTCAGAAGACACTGACTGTGGGATCTCAACCCTCCCTTGTTGCGGGGGGGCTGAGGGGAGAGCTCTGTAGGGTCCCATTTGGGTTCTGCACCCCTCTTATTCCTGGCCCTTGGAGAGGACCTCCGATCCCCGGCTCCTGACTATCTCCTTTCCTCTCTGTAAGCGAGACTTTGGCGATTCCCTTGTGAGAAAATCTATTAAAATGCTCCCTCTGTGCTTCTTCCAGGCCAGGATCTGGACGTGTTGAGGCACATTAACTTCCTCCCCGAGGCCTGGCTGGTCCGGGTCACCGCCAACCACTACTACTCGGTGAGTCGCCGGCAGCCAGAGAACAGTGATCGAAAGTCACTGCCTTTCCAACTTGGCTTTTTCTGGAGCTGTGTCCTGCATCTGAGATCTCTGGGCCTTTGAGGTCGGGATACCTGGGTCCTGCGCCAGGGGAAGTGGGGAGAGCCAAGCCCGGAAGGGGCGGAGGGAGGAGCTTGGAGCCCAGGTGCTTAGGGCATCTCTCCTGTTGACCTAAAGAGTCCGATGGGGTGGAGGAGCACTGGCCACACCTGACAGACACCAACGTCACTGCACTTGTTACTGAACGTTCTCAGAATGCGGAGAAATTGAAAGAAAGGAAATACATAGCAGATATATATCCTCGGACCCACTACCCACAGACAACCATTGCTAATATCTTACTGCATTTTTTTAATTTCAGAGAGAGGAAGGGAGAGGGAGAGAGAGAAACACCCATGATGAGAAAGTCATTAATAGGCTGCGTCCTGCAGGCCCCCGACTGGGGATCTACCTGCAACCCGGGCCTGTGCCCTGACCCAGAATCGAACCGTGACCTCCTGGTTCCTGGGTGACGCTTAACCACTGAGCCACGCGGCCCGGGCCAAACACCATTTTTAATGGCTGCAAACTCTTCCACCAGGAGGATATTCTACAGCCAATGCTGCTTTGCCAATTCCTTTACCACAGAAAATTTGTAGCGTTTCTAATTATTAGTTAACTGTTGTACATTACTCTCCCTGGAGTTATTTTCTCATCGGAGGTCCTCAAGGGTGGAAAATATGGGCCCCCAAAGGAATGTGCATCTTTGTTTTTGTTTCATATTAACAAGTTTGAGACCAAATTACCCCTCCACATACACAGTAATAAATGAATGCACCTCCCTTTGTGCATGTCCAGCAACATAGGGCACGTGCGTTTCAGACCCTGTTTGTTCATTCAGAAGCAAACAATGGCATCTCATTTTTTAATATGGGTTTCCTTTCTTGCTGGTGAATGTGAATATCTTTCCACGTGGTGTTTCCCCCCTTGTGAATGGTCGATGTGAAAGGTTGTACTTCCTGTGTGTCCCCAGTCTTGCATTCTTAGGATGAAGTGGGGCAGTGTTTGAGTTCTGAAGACGTATGAGTCACTAGTTAAAATTCAATTCAGCTCAACAAATACCTATTGTAATGTGCAAACCACAGAGCTCAGGGCCTCTGCCCAGTAGGCCAGGGCTCCGTGGAGCCGTGCTTCTCGGAGACGTAGTTCGGAACTGAGCTCTGCCCGGCCGGTGTGGCTCAGTGGTTGAACCTCGAGGTCACCAGTTCAATCCCCAGTCAGGGCACATGCCCGGGTTGCAGGCTTGATCCCCAGTAGGGAACATGCAGGTGGCAGCTGATCGATGTTTTACCCTCAGGTTGGTGTTTCTCTCTCTCCCTCTCCCTTCCTCTCTCTAAAATCAATAAAAACATTAAAAAAAAACCCCACATATGGGTAATTTTAAAAAAGGAGCTGAGCTCTAACAGAGCTATTGGTGGATTGATTTTAGAGAGAAGGGGGAGAGAAACATCTACTTGTTGTTCCACTTGTTTATGCACCATTGGTAGGTCCTTGTACGTGCCTGACCGGGATTGAATCCCTGCTCTTGTCTGTGTTTTCTGAAAGCAGCCAGCCGGCACCTGGGTTTTCAGCGAACCCTGAGGACTGGCTGGATGGCTGCACGTAGGATCTGAGACAGGGCTCTCGGGCACAGTGGGGCTGCGAGGAAGGAGCTGACGCGACTATGACGTCAGGGACCAGGCTGCCTGAGCTGTTTCCTTTCAGATGGAGAATGGGGGCGACATGGCCCATGTGAAGGACTTCACCTCCCAGGCGGTGAGATTCGGGCTGCTCTTCCACCAGGTACCACCGCTGGGCCCGCGCTGGGGGAGAACCACCCCTCTGTGCTTGGTTAGGGACCTTTGTGGGGTCGCTTCTTTCCTCTGGGAGGAAGGCAAGGGCAGAAGAGGGAGTTGTAGGTGTCTCCTCCGCATACTCACAGCCCCTGGGGAAATAAAATTGTCACGACAGGGGCCTGGGACAGGCCATTCCGGAGCCTGATGTGCGTGTCCGAGGTTTTGCCCCGAGGGTGACCCACTGTTGCGGTTTTCAGGGATGCAGGAGTTTCCCTGGGATGCAAGACTTTTCATTCTCAAACCAGGAAAGGCCTGGGCAGACTGGCGTGTGGGGGTCGTCTTTGTCCCTCACACATAGATGCCGCTGCTCCATGAGGGAAACCACTCCGAGCTGGGTCTACGGCTTCAAGGGTGAGCCTGTTCTGAGCAGTTATTTTGATGGACCCAAAGTAACAGTGGGTCGGGAGCTTGGCTGCAAGGCGTCTGGGTGCTCGGTCACCAGGGAAGCGACAGGCCTAGAGGCTGCATCCGGGGTCCCTCTGATGGGCCCAATTCACCGAGAAGCGGCTCCTCCCCTCCAGCTCCTCTGAAGCCACCCCGGGGGTGAGCTGAAGAGAACCCACATGTCACGGACTCACTCGGGGCCCTGAATCTATCGTCAGGGACTCTGCTCTGGGTCAGGCCTGGGTGGGTTGGGTTCGCCCCCTTGCGTTCAGAGACCTGCCCACCTGGCTGGACTGCAGACCACTGGGGCCAGGACGCTTGGCAATACCATGGGTCCCTTAGGCCCCTCATTGAAGCAAAATGCTTGTTTCAAAGTTCTGCAGACCCTCGGTCATCTAAGATCAGGCCCAACTCACCCTTCTCCCCACTACGAAGGTCGAAGTGCTATCCTGTAGGGTTTGCGAAGTCACCACAATTTGCCTTTTCCTATGCTTCCGACACTAAAATTGCTCTTTTGTTTTAAATCAGTTGTCAGATTAGTCACTTTGGTTGTAGCTGGACTTTGTTGCTCTGTCCCCTTGCCTTTGAATGCAGACGCCTTTTTCCCTGTCGCTTTGTCGTCTCTTTCCCAATTTAGGAATATACAACTTATTCAGAAACAATTGCTATATATGGATTCTTCTTTGAGATAAAGGGAATCAAGAACGGTGCTACCTCCTACAGCTTTTACATGCAGGTAAGGGGCACAGAGCGCAGGGAAGGCGAGCCCCTGAGGCGGCCTTTGAGGGTCAGAGTCGATCCATACCCAATAATAACAACTGATTAATTGTTATTGAATAACTAACGTGGAGTGTGTTGGGAGCCTGGTGCTAACCGCACTCATAGACATGATGTCCTTTGAATTTTGCAACAGTTTCGGGAGGTTGCTACTGTTGCAGTTTAACAGGTCTCAAGGCTGAGTGCCTTTGTGGTCACCTGGCCTCTGTCGGCAAAGCCGGGGTTATATTCTAGGCTCTGACTCCACACATTTGGGGCTAATTCACCTTCAGTTCCTACAGGATGGGTGGTGGTTGCCGATGGAGGCAACGGAAAGTGCCCGCAGGCGAGAGGGAGTGGCCTTGTTTAGAGCAGCAGAGCTGGAGGGAGGACAGGGAGGGAGGACAGGACACCAGAGACTAGGAGGGGGGAAGGCTTCCCCTGGAGGCTCCTGCTGGACTTTCGGGGCAGGCGGGAGGGTGCTGCGCTCCGGAGCTGAGAGCCCAACGCCTGGTGTGACCTCGTCAAGCCCGTGAGCTCCCCTCCTCGTGTTCAGGACCATGCTCACTGGGCGCTCGGGAGTATTCTTGTGTTAATTTGCGCAAAGGGCTTAGAACACGGCCTGACCCATAGAGCACCCTACAGTGACAGTGACAGCTATGATGAGGCCACTGTGTTCCACTTAGGGTCTGCTTCTTAAGTCCCTAAGGCCGCAGGCTCCTCAAGAAACCACACCTTATCAATCTTTTTACCGTCCCCACCAATCACAGCACCTGGGTCCGAGGGTAGGCGTGATCGTATCCTGAATGGATAAATGAATAAATGCTGAGTGAAGAGGCCTGAATTTTAGTCTGGGCTTTGCCGCTCCCTCATTGTGTCCCCTTCAGCAAGTCACGTCTGTTCCTTGGATCAGTCCTTGGTCTTCAGGGACTCGGGCATTTCCCTACATAAGGGATGTGACTGGATGGAAGAGATGAGTTATGTATCGACACCAGTCTAAATGCTCAGATGAATACTATGTTGGTCCTTTTAAAATATGTTTTTATTGATTTTAGAGAGAGAAGAAGGGAGAGGGAGAGGGAGAGGGAGATGGAGATGGAGAGAGAGAGAAACCTCAATGATGAGAGTCATCGATCGGCTGCCTCCTGCAGGCCCCCGACTGGGGATCGAGCCTGAAACCCGGGCCTGTGCCCTCACCGGGAATCAAACCCGTGACCTCCTGGTTCCTGGGTCGATGCTCAATCACTGAGCCCCACTGGCCAGGTTACGTTGGTTTTTAAATTCTGGCAAAATGCTATGAAGACCTTCCAATTCAATGGGCTTGACCTAATGACCGGCCAAGCCCAGTCCGCCGGCCGGTGGTTTGCGCGTGGTCAGGGCTCAAATCGCCGCTGACTCGGCAGCTGCGGCGCTCAGGAAGCGGGATCCTGGGACACGCTGGGTCTCCCCGTGTGAGCTCCACTTCAGGGGGTCACCCTCTCTGCAGAGACTGAGGCCCAGAGACGTGGGGTTCCCCTCCTCCGTCTGCGAGCACGGCCTCGTGAGCCTGAGGGCCGAGCGCCTGGTCAAGTACAGGATCAGCGCCCAGACGCTGGTGGACGGCAGCTGGGAGGAGTTCGGGACGAAGCCGACCATGCAGAAGTTTCGGTTCATCAGGCCGTCCTGCAAAAGCCAGGTGAGTGGCTCTCTTTCCTCTTCTCCTTTATTTATTTTTTGCTCTTTCTTTCCTGCACCCCTTTTGGGGGGTCACTGGCTTCCCATCTCCTGGGATAAGCTCGCTCAGTTTCTTAAGGGTTGTCACAGCTCCAGACAACGCTAAAGAGAACCCTCCCGGCCCGGAAAGCTGGGGGTGTGGGAAAATGTAGCTGAGATCACACTGTACACGCCTGATCACTTTGTACATGTCAAAGGGTCTTTCTGGGAGGAGGAGAGGGGAGGTGGGGTGTGTTTGCCGCCACCTTCTTCGCTCTTGGCTGGACCTCACCTGTCACGGCTGCTGAGCTCCCCGGCCCAGCCCACCTGCCTCCACGGGCCAGCCCAGCGCCCAGGCGGATTCGGTACCTGGCCTGGCTCCTGAGGGCTGCACCCCAGAAGTACCCCAAGACTTTGTCTGTGGTCCTTGGAGGAGCTCTGGATGCTGAATCCTGGGAGGCCAGGACCTCCCGTGCTGCCCTGTGGGGAGCGGGACTTGGCCTTCACCCAGAGAGTAATTCTCGGTCCTGGCTGCTCATCAGAATCAGCTGGCCCT